CCTTCCACGAGCACGTCCACGGCCCTTGCCACGATTGCGTGACACTTTTTGTTGTAACTACAAACTTATTCAATTCATAACCATCATTCAAATATAGCAACTATTTCAATAAATTAATCAACATTCATTGATACGAGATCGCATCTTCTCAACAACTCTTCTCACTATTCGTCATTTTGGTTGCTAAGAACAAAACGACATTTTGTTCATTGTCGCAGTTGAATACGTTACTTAGTTAGAGCGCAGCAACAAATTTTCGCACCTACGAAATGCCACTGTGATTTTACCAACCTGAAATACAACATTACCCGAAATACTATAAACCAACCTCATTTTCAAGATCTTCTTGTTCAGCCACCACAGTTGCAACATCTGGATGTGCGTAATCAACTGTTGAACGAGTGGAACGCCGTGGACGCGATGCAGCAAGAGACTCGGGTTGTTGTTGAGGTGCTTGCTCACGATTTGCCTGAAACCGAATCGATGCCATTCAGTTACCATTAGACAACTTTATATCAAATTTAAACTTATAATCATTTAACTTCATGCCATCCTCATATAACCACACTTTATTTTTACAGTGATGAAATTGAAATAACTCTCACATGTGACTTTCACAGTACTTCACGAAAATTTTAGCAAATTTAATTTTCGAATCTTTGGCCACGTTGCTGGAAATGTGACGTTTATACAGTGCAAACAAACTAGGTAATCTATCTTGCTGGATCATAAGAAACTAACCAGAGTTTCCGCAGCTTTGACAGGTGTCGATTTCGCAGATCCACCGCGTGTCCTCCCTCCACGACCACGACCGCGGCCTCGACCAGGTGCTGTCTGTGTACTGGGGGGCACTTCACCATCTCCCTCAGCACTTTCGGCTCCCTTCTCGGGTTCGGGTGATTGCTCCTTGGACTGCGGACTTGGTGGAGCGTTCGCATCTTCGACCATCCACTTCGGTAGAACACGTTTTGTTGTAGCGCCACTTGTCGCGGTCGCCTTCAAAACAATACAACTGATACTAGACAATCTGACGGAGAGTGAATCCCAATCTGCAGACAGAGCAGAGAGAATACGCCTCGTTGCTCTGTTCGAAGTATCCAAATGGATCTCAGGCTATGACTAGACACCAGCAATCGACATATGCTGAATGCTACCCTTCTGAGATTTTTCATCATGAGAGCGATTATTGTTGAAATCTCGATTTGGATCATTCAGATTGCATTCATTCGAATAATTTTGAAAATTAATGAAGAAAATGAAAAAAACAAATGATCTAAATGTACCTCTTCTTTCTTTGCTTCAGCTG